TTATAGAGCCATAATCAATAAGGTAAAGGTGAGGTCTTTAAAGATATTAACCCACAGTGGGTAGAATGTTATATCTTGAGATATTCCAACAGCACAAGCAGTGTGAAATGAGGGAACCATGCATAGAATGGACTGTTGTGTACATGGTTCAAAAGAAAAAGGCTGGTGGCCATTATGATTAATACATGTCTAACTCACAAAAATACAGTTGATTTCTTCTTATCCATCATTAGAAGGCCTTGTTTCCTTATACACCCAGAAACTACTGTATCAAGGGATGTAATTTGTACAGATAAGATAAGGACAAAGGCTGTTTAATGAAAAGCTTGATTTTGTTCATTAGCAGCAAAGGAATACATGTAACAAATGGGTGATTTTAAGGAAACAGAATACAGTATTTCACAGGCACAGTTTGAACAAAGACACATATATGTTATTTTTAATCAAAATCAAAATGAGCCAGTGACATGACTGAAACGTTTGTTGTTGCCACAATGAGTAATTAGCTTTTTAGTCAATTGCCTTCATTTTAATAGGAACATGTCACACACCCCTAGTCCCCCTGTTTGTTTTTCTACACACCCAGGTTCCCTTTCAGGCATGAAATGTACTTTTCTCCCTTTTTCACTGCCACCAGAGGATATGTTCCTCTCTGTACCAAATATGACTATTAGATCAGTGTTATACAATATAACAACGTTTATTCATGTGTTTGTAGGTAAATCATATAAAGAAAATCATGGATGGTCTTTTATTATTCATTCAATAAACGTTGCTTTGATTACATTTAAGTTTGCTTATGTAGATTCACTTTAATCAAGGTATTTATATATGCAACTATTTATTTATTTCTTAGCACTTTTAACTCTTTCCAGTCTTAACCCCATAAACTTTCCCAGGCTTATCCTATTCCTATCTTTTCAATCTCTTTCTCTATCTCTCTGTTACTCTTCTCTCTAACACAACCATGGCCCTAATTGCCTAAACTGTTCTGTCTTTTTCTCTCTCCTTTTATTTCCCTGGTTCCGCCCCTCCTGTCATGTAATTGGCTCGCACATCAGAGCTCTGATCTGACTGACAGGAGTGTTCTGAGTGCTGTCCATCACAGAACAACCCCCAAGTTTCAGTCTGTGTGACTCTATCAGACAAGAAAGAAAGAAAGCAAAAGACGATGAAGAAGACAAAAACATGGTGGCACCTTGAAGACTAATTGCTATATTTTAATGTGACCTTTCATGGATCAAGTCCTCAGACATAAAAGAAAGAAATGGCAAACATTTATACATGGCCTCAAGATAGAGAGACAATGTCTGGTCACAAATTGTGCTAGTCAATGCCACATTTCACTCCTAGTAATGACTTAAGACTAGAGATGGGTGTAACGAGGGTCTGGTGCCCTGGGGCTGGACTGTCCACTTGTGTGTCCACTGCTGCTGCCAGTTCCACTCTCCCTTCCAGTCGTTCCAGAGCTCTTATCACATATGCTTGAACTGACTGACATGGATACCACTTCAAAACTACATTTATATCACTAGTAGTTGTGGAACATGTACTGTAGGTGGTATTGTAATGCACCATGTGAGTGCAGTTGTGCTACTGCTGTACAACTGAAATAAGCAGCATGGTAGAAACAGCCTCAGGCAAAGGCTTTCTGGTATTGGAAAGGTGTCCAAACAAGATAAAAAGTAATTAGTATAGCATAATAAGGTCGCATTGGCTCTTCTTCCCCAGTGTTGCATATTGAATATTTGCATATTTATGACCTGTATTGCATATCGGATGTGAGTCATGTGAGGATTGGGGCATTTCTTGATTTGATGTTACATCGAGCAGGGCATCTTTCAGTTAAGCATTTAAAATCATCATTTTTTATTTTTTTATTTTTTTATTTTTAAGGAAAAGGTGTGATGTCTTCTGCATGCACTCCTGTGTTGAGGTTAAAGCTACTGAACAGGATAAGACTTAATACTTGTCTGTTTAAGTTAACTTGCTAAATGACACCACCTCTCACATTTTCATATGTTTGCAACATTGTTCCATCACCCCCAATTCTCCACAAGTGCCACAAAAGTGAGGTATTTGGAAATATGTTTGTTTACACTTCAGCAGAAGGAACCACCATTGTATCTGTACAGAGTCATGCAATGGGGTTATTTCAAGTGGCCAGGAACTCAATGCATACCCTATTCATTTTGACCTGTATGTGGTAGTTGATGCAGATCCTGTGGATGTAACTTTGTCCTCTGCTTGACCTGTTAGAACAGATACATTGCAACTGGTGCAGCCTGAAGCTGTGGATAGGATTCTTGAAGAAGAGGTGAAAGCCATCACTTGTGTGTTGGCTCCTTGTCTTTCCTGACTTTTAAAAGCAGCCAGAGCGGGACTGGCCATGAGGAGTAATGGATGCTGCCTTGTATCAAGGCAGGGTGCCAGCATGCTTAAAGGAGGCTCACTTTACTGAACAATCATCAGCCAGTCTTAAATAATTTCTGGTCAAGATACTAGAGTATATGGTGGCTTCTCAGCTCCAAGGATTCCTAGATGAATGTGGATTGTCTCTAGACCCATTTCAATCTGGCTTCAGGCCTGGCAATGGAACAGAGACAGCGTTTCTCACTTTGTTGGATGATCGATGTCAGGAAGTGAACAGAGGGAATGCATCTCTGCTGGACCTCTTAATGACTTTTGAAACCATTGACTGTGGTATCCTTCTGAGCTGACTCTCTAGGATGAGACTGGGAGGCATTGCTTTATGATGGTTTTGATCCTTCCTAGAGGGAAGAACTCTGAAGGTGTTGCTGAAGGATTCTGTTCCACGTCCTGGACATCAGCCTATGACATCCCCCGGAGTTCTGTTTTGTCCCCCATGCTATTTAACATATACATGAAACCACTGGGGGAGACTGCCTGGAGTTTTGGGGTTCAGTATCAACTGTATGCTAATGACACAAGCCCTTTCCCTCTTTTTCCAAGAAACTCTGTTAGTTCTAAACTGATGCCTGATACCAGTGATAGGTTGGATGAGAGCAAAAAAATTGAAACTGAATCCAGACAAGATGGAGGTGCTCCTTGTCAGTTGAAAGGCAAATGATGGAATAGGGATGCAGCCTCTGCTGGATGGGGTTACACTCCCCTTGAAAACTCAGATCTACAGCTTGAATGTATTCCTGGATTCATCCCTAAGCCTGGTCGCCCAAATTTCAGTGGAGGCCCAGATTAGATTTGCACAGTTAAAACTGTTGTGCCAGCTGCATGCGTTTCTTGAGAAATCTTATTTGACTACAGTGGCACATGCCTGAGTTACATCCTGCTTGGATTTTTGTAATGTGTTCTACATGGAGCTGCCTTTGAAATCAGTTTAGAAACTTCAGATGGTTCAAAATGCTGCTGCCAGACTGCTGACTGGGGGAAGTTATAGGGACAGATAATGCTCCTGCTACAAGAACTGCACCCCAGGCCTAATTTAAAGTGCTGGTTGTCACATATAAAGCACGGCATGGTTTGGGGCCAGGCTATCTGAAGGACAGTATCTGCCCATATGAACCTTCCAGGACCTTAAGACCTGCAGAGGAAGCCCTTCTCCCAATCCCATTGCCACTGCAGGAACATTTGATGGGGACATGAGAGAGGACCTTCTCTGTGGCTGCTCCCAGCTAATGGAATGCTCTACCTTGGAAGGTCAGGTTGGCTCCCTCCCTTTTGTCCTTCCACTGACATTCCACCCACTTCTTCAAGCAGGCTTCAAATAATTTTGAGTATAACTGATCTTGGATGCTACTCTTTCCCCTTTTAAAGTTGGATTTTATACTCTTTTGACATGTTTTAAAATTACTTAAAGGATTTTTAATTTGTCATGTTTAATTATTTTAAAATCAGTAATTTATTGTTTTTAGTTTTACCCATTCTAACATAGTGAGCTGCCTTGGGGCCTTTCACCAAGGAAAAGGCAGGCAACAAATGATACAAATAAATGAATAAATAATCCTCCTCCTAAAAATGCATTTAGGGTTTACATGATAATGAAGCTTATAATATCCACATTAATGTTGCTGCAGATTCAAAGTGTGCTGCTTATTCAAGATTGTGCATTATGCAAAGTGGTGGTTGCAACTTTTTCCATCACGGCAGAGAGGCAAGAAACAAGACTTCGTTTGTTTCAGAAAAAATAAAATAGCAGAATGAACAATTTGCTTTAAAAATTTTCTGTCCCTCTATGGTAGAACAAACTTGTTAACACTTCAGATTCTCACGGATGTTATCCATTAGTGTAGATTCTAAAGAAACCCAGTAGGTCCATCTACACAAAGTATGCATAGCTTCTTATACAGAATAAACAGATACTTTAAGAACAATCCAGCTAATTCAGACCAAAAGTCTCTTTAGGTTAAGATTTTTGTTCTTGTTAGCAATCAGACTGCCACATATGTGATTTTAACAGCACCCTCCAACATGGATTATCCAACAATTGATGTTTAGAGGCATGCTTCTGGCACTGGAAGTAATATATAGACTCCATGACATGTTGATAGTCTTATATTTTGCCTGACCCCCCTTTTAAGCCATTCAAGTTGACAGTCATTACTATGCCTTATTCTACCAAATTTCATAGTTGAAATATATTCTATCTGAAAAGTACTTTTAGGTGTACTGAATGGTTTGGGTTGTAATCTAGCCTGTATCTTTCACTGTGCATGCATATACATATGAAGCAAGAATTTAGCTTCACTGTTCATAATGTATCACTCTATGTTTATCTTTATTGAATGGCTGCAAATTTTTACTATCCATTCTGCCAGTCTGGAGATGCTTTCTGATCTCTCTGATCTCCCTTTTTGTTTTAACCATGAACATCTGTGCCAAGAGCTAGCCCACTTTATTGGGTTCTGTCTCCTTTTGAGCACAGAATCTTTGCAGCTGCTCAATAAAACAAGTAATTAGATCAGCCCAGTGTTTACCTTCAGTCTTTCAGTTTCCACTAAGAATAAGAAACAAAACTTCTGTTTTGTTAAAAAAAGTCCACTTTTTTATTGGGAAAAAAAGTTGAAATAAATTACATTTTACAAAGTAATATTTACATACAGTGATTCCAGTGACGCAAATCAAGAACAACAACAACAACAAAAGAACAGTTCTATCTGTCCCATGATGGAGTGGCAGAGATGAGATCATCCAGACTGTACATACTTCAGGAACCATATGAAAGACAGCCACCCTCGTTTTAAAAGTTCAGTGCAGCACCGAAGGCATGAAAACTAAAGATGAATCAAGATGCTAGGCAACTTTTTAAGATCAACAGAGTCATGTATTGCTCTTTTGCTTCTACTTTCAGAAAAGATGCTGGTGTAGTTTAATCTGTATGATTCCAATAAACTAGCAGGATGAGTCAAACACTATTCAGGATAATGACACGACAGTAAATTAAGGTTTTTGTTTAATATTTTGGAACATCCATTGCCAGCATTTGTGTGAATAATAGCTCCATAGTAAGAAGGCACTTTTAAAAATCCTATTGAATAGTTTTGGACCACTATACGGGTTTCATAATTGTGCCAAATTAACCGAGTATCTTGTTTTAAAAGGAAAGGTGGAATTATATATTTCTTCATAATCTCACTGCAGAAAATAAATATTTGTGGATCAGTTTTGTACTGAATATACACAGAAATCAAGCAGCAAAATTGTAGGTGTATGGTGAGACCAGCCCTGTATTTTCAAGAGTAAATTCCTATCTGATCATAACCTTACTGTAAGATTTCTGAATATACAGTCTGAGCCCTTGGAATGGCCTCATGTCTGGCTAATTATGGTCATATGAGAATTCTGCATTCTACTGAGTGAAAAGAAGTCAAGCTGTTTGAATTTTTGGTCCAATTCTTGGAATTATATTTTCCCCCAGCAATAGCCTAAAGTTCAGCAGCCACTAGCAGTATGCTAGGTTTTTGTGATTCAATAAACTGGGTGGGCCACCAAGAAGCAAGGAAAAGCAGCATTACTAATTTTTTTATGATCTACATTCTTGTAGATATTGGTTAGAGAATACTTCCTTTTTCTCTAAAACATGCAAGTACTTTTGGTGATGAGGTCCTTTTGGAAATCAGCAGCCATCTCTCCCTGCCCCCCGGCAACTAAATTGTTTAACTTGAATACAGAGTAGAGATTATTACTCTGCAATTTTCTAAACATTTTTAAAAGTAAAGACAAGTGGTCCCCAAACCAGTTCTGTTTCATATTATACAAATACCTCCCAATGTGTAACTGAGAAGGCAAACTAGTCAAAGGCACTTCACATGCTGGTGAAACCTCTGCAGCAATCTAGGTTTACTTTCAGTACAGTACTTACCCCACTAGACTTAAAAGTCTGAGAAAATGTTTACTGAGGACTGAAGCTTCCCTCAACACAAGGAAGACAATATCTTTGATCTGTAGGGTGCTAAGGCAGAGAGTTCTCTAAGATGGCTCCATTATTTAATGAACACTGTGTAAAGTTCTCTCAAGCATAAAAGGTAACACCTTGTGGTACAACTGTTCAGAATTCAGAAATTCTATTAGTACTTATGTAAATAAGTCTTCCCCAATTTTAGTAGGACTTTCTCTAAGCACCGGGTAGAGTATGAAAACCAGAAAACACTACAGCTTGTGCTTATATTTGTGAAATTTGCATCAACGTACGTCAAGGAACATATGACCTTGTTTTCTTGAGAAGAATTTATGGACCAAGAACAGGACCAATCCCTTACGAAGGTTTGAAACACTCTTGTCTAAAAAGCAGCACCAAAGCTGTATTTTTGATAGGTCACATGAGCTAATTCTCACATGTTGACTGAAATATGAGGTTTAACAAAGAGGGTACTCAGTTTTAAGTCATATCTGCCAATCTGTGCAATCCAGCACTTGAGCTAGGCAATGCAACAATGTATTGAGAAACTCACACACAATCTCTTTACTGATCCTATGCCATACTTGAAACAGAAGAGGAATCAAACATTCATGTTGTGCCTCATTTTTACTTCTCTTTTAGTGTGGCTAGAAAGCTTTTAACCATTTATTCATGTAAGACACACCAGAAGATAGCAGCATCTTCATGAAGTCATCTTCACTTTTTCGTGAGCCATCTAATCTACACAAGAAAGATCAGTGGCCTCCTGGGCTCTCAGCCATGGCTAAAGTCATAACACATACTTGCTAATAGTATAAAATCTTATAAAGTTGTAACATCCCTTCAAGAAAAATATAATAAAACATCATTGACTTTTTTTTCAATTGGGTTTGCTTGCAAACGTTTTTGCACAAACAATACAAATTTCAAGCCAGAAATGAAGAAAGACCATCTTTTACAACAAATGCCTTCAAGCTAACCTTCAAAAGAGTTTCTAATAAGAGTGTATGATTGATAAAGAGAAGTTTTAATGAAGGGAACAGTATACTACCACTCCCACCAAGCAGTAGTCACTGAGCAATTTTGAGAGTACCTAATCATTCAAGATTAGTATTGAAAAATTCCATTTAACTTTTCTTAACCATGCTATAGCGTAATCCCCCACCCCCACGCATTCAGTGCCCACAGATTCTTCCATTTCAGATCGAAACAACAGGAAGTGCAAGATACCATTAAAGATTCACAAAGAATCTAGCAGCAAAAGTTTATGCTGCTAGAATCCTTTGTTCAATGTTACTGCTATACTCCCAACAGCTTAAAAGCATAAGTACTTTGTTGCTTCGTAAGACTAACATCAACCATGGAGTCAATATGTTTGCTAATGCAAACCCTCATGTTAGTTGAAGCTCATCACTTTGATATCTGAAGTCTGCTGTTTTTGTAAGCCTTCTCACATTCTTCACATGTCCACATAGGAGTTTAGTAAAAATAATATTTTCATTTTACTTAGAAAGGCATTTAAAATACCTGCAGCAGAAATGTATAGAAAAGCTTGCGATCGTACCCAAATAGTATTAACTACTGAGAGTACCAACTGGAGTGGAAAACTAGAGAATTTCTAGAAGAAGACTCTAGTATTTAGTAGAGCCACAAAATATAAGAAGGAACAAAGCAGCTTTGGGATCCTTCAAGATGAACACTCATTCATGCTGTTTTGCTATCTTGAAACACACTGCCATTCAAAAGGGCAGCATTACTTAGAGACTTCTTCTGCACATGAAATGTATTCAAGTATTTCATCGAGAGTCTGGACAGTGGAAAGATACTTCCAGAACAGACCACAAGGTTGTTAGTGTGCTTTTCTTCATTTTAAAATCTATCCTCCACATCATCTTGCAGTATTCTGCATTACTAAATTTTGGGTGTTAAACAGGTGTGCTCTTCATAATCATCAAAATATTTAAAATTAAATTTAAAATTGTTTTTGTCTGTGTATGTTTGTGTAACAAAAGGTACACTGATAAAAAAAATCAGTTCTGTGTTCTGGGTTTTTGTTCAAGAACTTTCAGCCCGCAGCTAAATAGAGCTGGTATAACTTGAGCAGATAATTTTCAAGTCCCCTAACCAGTATTGACAACACAGTTCAATTCTGATGTTCAAAATACTTAGCATTCTCAGCTCAAAGCATCCCTTATAAGAATGAAAAGAGAGCTTCACTATGTGACCATGGTAAACCCACTAACATTTTCTTCTCTGCACCTTAGCATGGTTTCAGTTCAGTTCTTCAGATGTGAAGGATCAGTGCAGTAACCAGCCATGTCCTGCAATCAACTCAAACCATCTTGACTGCAATCACAGAACTTCATTAAAAAAAATTTAAAAAATTAAAAGAAACCAATACTGAATCAGACCTGTAATTCTAGGCTTTTCTTCCTGATTTCAACAACCTCTAACTCCCCCAAAGAAACCCTCAGTTTGTTAAGAACTGTTACTTCACAGTAAGTAAAACTAAGTAACACAATTGCCTACAACATCCAGGCATTGAATGTGTTCAGTTTGCAGACTGAAGACAACAGTGGAAAATGGCAGTTCTGAAGTTCCTCCTTTCCTCGCTTACATTTATCTGCTCAAAATCTGCATTAAATGATCCTCTAGAAACCATTAGCATAATATACCTTTCTTCAAGTCTCTGCATTTGCAGTATTTACTGTGTTGTAATCATTCATTAGCTGCTCATAAGGCACAGATATCTCCAGTTCATTACTGGTGAAGGTAGATTCATCAGAAGATGGAAATTTCACCAGTTTTTGGGGGCTTTCAGGTTCCTCTGGAAGATTGTCGTCCATAGAGGATTTGGAAGTTTCTTCATCATCTGAAATATCCTCATCCTCATTTACAAATGTTATATTAGCATTCTCAAATATAAGGGGTCGATAGTCTCTGGAGTCCCATGCTTCCCCTTCTTCCTCACTGATCCGGTCCAGCTGGTTTACAAATACATTGCCCTCAATTGAGCTATCACCAACACGTTTGTCTGCCAGGTGCTTCATAACATGATAATTTTGGAGTCCAAGGGAAACCTCGCCATAGTCAAACAAATGGTTCCTTGAGTATATCACCTGCAGTTCTTTGCCAGAATGCTGCAAGTTTGGCTTGCCTTGCTCTGAGTTTAAGATTTTGTCACTGCCTGTTTTCAGAGCCTTCTTTCCAATCTGCTTGATGAGATCATTGTAAGTCTCTTCCTTCTTAGAAAGGAAGCTGAAAATGTTCACATCTTTGTGGTTCGATATCTGAAGTGCTTTTTTGGGAGGAGGGTGGTTTTCAAAGGACTCCTTTCTTTTTTTTCTCCGCTTCTTGATTGCTTTGTGAACCTCTACAAACATGCTGACCTTCCAGTTGACAAACAGGGAAAGCCAGGCTAGGCCCAAATAGATCCATAGCTCCACAAAGTACCTGTAGAGGGAATGGTAATCCATGTTTGGATTCACACCTGGAAGAAAAACATAGAAGATTATAGGGCTACATTTGGATATGTATGCATGCCCTAGATATTAAAACATATCAGTGCTATGGGAAAGTTTATCAGCTTAGCATTTTGTTACGGTTCAGATTGGAGCAAAGACTACAGACCAAGTTTATTTCAGAAAATCTACATTAATATTTCATTTGCAGCATGTTGTGTAAGGATCAGCATGTGTGTCTGATATGAGATACCAACAATAAGTATCAGGGTGTTCTGGAAATTTTAAAATGTGATCAAGCAGTAGTCCAATTATAATGATAATCAGAGACAGATTTTTTTAATCTGAACAGAAAAGACCCAGAGGATAGATATGACTGTGCTTTAAAGATAGCTGAACAGGTTTAGCAGTCAACAGGTGCCCAGATGTAGTATCTATTACATGGTGTGCTGCCTGCCCACTTAAGATTACTGCAAGATGGAGCAGAGCACTAAATTTCATTAGCTTCATGGTCATTCTATCTCTAGCCATTTTTTTTGCTTATTTTTTTTCAAATAGTATTCATTTAGTACAGGGACCGGTATAGTGAGAATCTGTTATTGTTGCTCCTTGTAGCAGTGGCCATTTATACTGGATGTACAACGTTTTGGGGAGGGCCCTGCTATGAATGGCAGAAACGTGGCAAAAGATTAATACAGTGGTGCCCCGCATGATGACAATAATCCGTTCCGGGAAAATCGCTGTTAAGCAAAATCGTCATGCGAAAAGCATTTCCCCATTGGAATACACTGAAACCCATTTAATACGTTCCAATGGGGAAATTACCTCATCGTCTTGCAAAGATCGCCCATATGGAAGCCATTTTCCAAGCGCCGATCAACTGTTAAAATTATTATTTATTATTTTATTTATTTGATTTATACCCCGCCTATCTGGACCAATGGACCACTCTAGGCGGCTGCCCTGCGAAGCATGGGTCTGGAAAACATAGGGCAGCCATTTTAGGAACCCGAAGATCAGCTGTAAAGATTGTTGTCTTGTGAATAAACGGTCCACAAAGCATGGACCAAATCGTTGTCAAGCGGAATTCCCCCATAAGAATGACTGTTTGCAAATTGCTATAGCGATCGCAAAAAGTCATTGTCGTGCAGTTTCGTCATTACCAGCTGCTGAGACAGCAGAGCTGTTACTTACCAGCTACAAAGTCTCCAAATCCAATGGTGGAAATGGTGATGAAGGAGAAGTAGAGCCCTTCAATATAATCCCAGCCTTCAGTCACCATAAACACAAAAGGAGGAAGGACTAGGTGAACAAGGACTCCCCATATGATGAAAATAGCTGTGCACGTAATTTGTGCCTTTCTCTGCAAGAGAATAAGAAGGAGAGGGAAAGAAAAGCATCAATCAAACAGGTATCTTTTACTGGATTTGTGACCTCTTTTTTAAAGCAAGATAGTAGTTCACTTTGTAATGTGAAAAGAAAAATTCTAGCATAGTGGAAGGAAATAATGGGTAAATGGAAGTTATAACATTTTCTGCTATTTCTTGGCCTTAACTTTATGTTTCCACATAAAAGCTCCCTGTGGTGGATTTTACCATGTTGTTTTTGCTTGGTGAAGCTATTGTGTGGAACTTCCTGTGGCGTTCACCTTTATTATGTTAAATAGTCATGCATTATTCATGTTGTAGGATAATGTTGTTGAGAGGCGTTGCTGAGAGAGAGGTAAAAAAGGCAGAGCCTGAGAGTGAACAGTCAGTCAGAGTGGGAGAGAGTCAGAGTCAGAGTATGGAGTCAGGAGAGATAGAGATAGATTTATTTATTTATTTTTATTTATTTATTTGATTTTTTCCCCGCCCCTCTAGACCATGTCTACTCGGGGCAGAGTCGACATGGGGGCAGACCATGTCTACTTTGGGAGATCTGAGGTGTGATTAGTCAGAAGAGTTAATAGTAACTGTAAGTAATCTTCAAATAGAAGATTGTTATTGATGATTGAGAAACCTGAAGAAGATACTGTACTTATGAATGATAATCAAAATATCTGTAATCAATAAACCTGTTTTAATTTAAAATACAGTGATGAATGGACTTTCATCTTTCTTAAGAAAAGTATGTTGATTTAGTGATCAACTGGTGGCAGCATGTGAAGAGGAATTTGGTTTGCCTTCATGTGCTCAGTGGTTGGAAGATAACCACGGGGGACTTGGACCAAACGCCACACTCCCCCACACTCTTACACCAAATATAACTCTAGATCAGAGTTATATTGAGAAATAACATTTCTGTCTACACACATGGTTATTTCTAAATTTCAGAATTGTCCACCTTTGTTTCTTTCTTTCACATAAAATCAAATGAACTGAAAACATCAAATGAAACCCAGCAAGGAGGCCACAAGTAATCTATTGGCTGAAACCTGTGAGGTTTTTTAATGAAGAAAAACTCAAACAGACTCCATCTCTTCTCCTCTGTTACCTTTCATACAAAAACCTCACCCCACACACATTCTCTAAAAAAATTCATTTGTAACTTTACTACAAAAAAAAATCTAAACATAAAATTAGATAAGTTAGTGCAAGTTTAGGTTTGTACAATAAAATTGGATGTGAACAGTTTCTAAGATTTGGATATTTAACCACCATCTTCCATTTTAGCCAGCAGGAAGTTACAGGGAAAATAAAACTGATCAGGCTGAAAGGCAAGAGTTCACAGGGGAACAACAGCAAGGTTCTGGAAGTATGGGGGAAAATGCCTCGCATACATTCCCAATCTATAATTATTTCTTATTTGTGATATGTAAATTGTAGATAAATTTTATATAGGCAAAACGGTATAACTTAGTGAGCTGCAGCACCAAGGCAGGAGTTTGAATTCTCATCATGCTAAGAGAGTGTCAAGCCAGGATCAACCAGTGTGTGTATGGCTGATACATGACTTGTCACTTGTTTGATCCTGAAGCTGATCAGTCTCAGAACATCTCCAGAACAAGGGACTGGTAATCCACTTTTGAACACTTTATATATAGAAGGAGCCTCATAGTGCAGTGGTTAAATGGCAGTATTCAAGTTAAGACTCTGCTCATGACCTGAGTTTGATCCCAACAGGCTCAGGTACATCTTGAGGCTGACACAACCTTCCATCCTTCTGAGGTTGGTAAACTTGAGTACCCAGCTTCGGGGGGGGGGGCAATGTGTAGCCTGTATAGTCAAATTGTAAACCACCCAGAGAGTGCTTTAAGCACTATGGGGCAGTATATATGCCTCCCACTTTGCTTTTTAGAAAACCCTGGGAAGATTGCCATAAGTCAGAATGGCATTGTTAATATTTATATAAGTATTAAGTAGAACTTTTTTGAAACCTGCATGAGTACCTCAAATTAGTTTTAAATTCGGTCTGATTCTAATTTATACTATATGTAGATCATAATTTGGGACTAACCCAGCTATTAGTCCAGTGCAAGGCAGAGCCACTGAAATGAATGGGATATAGGTTAGTAATTTATAGTAAGTCCCATTCAGTTCAGTGGGTCTGATCTGCATAGGAGTGGAACACTATGAGCATTTATCAAATTTGAAGCTGATAATAAGCCAATTCAAAGTTCTAAAATAAATAAGGGAACGTTTCCTTGAATAGCTGAAAGTTTGAATTTTTTGAATTTCTTGAAGTTATATGTATCCCCCCTGCAGTAAACTAAGAAGGAATTCATTTCATACCAGGCTTACTCCTCTTTTTGTTAGAAACTGGCCCAGTCTCTTGGCACGTCCACCAAAAAACTTCCCCAAAGCACTGATCCACGTTAGGCAAAGAGGAACACCAAATAGTCCATAAAATATACAAAAAAGCCGTCCAGCTGATGTCTTTGGAGCAACATTTCCATATCCTGGAAAAAGAAAACTCTGTTAGAAATCACCCATGTCAGTTTCAAGAGAATAATACCTGAAAACAACTACAATGTCTTGTCTATTATCTGGAGCTTGTGAATTTGTTCACCCATGATAGTATTAAACACACCACCCTGTGGCACAAATTGCCATTGTAATGTCATTTCACACCCCTACCTTTTCAAAAAGCCAAAAACTACCTTTTTAAAAATTAGACCATATAGTCACGTCACATCCATTTCCCTTTTTTGGACTAAAACAAGCTGGAGGTGGGGTGAGGATCAATATACAAACAGCAAATCAAATTACACAGAGGCTTCTAGGGGTGCAATCTGCCATTCTAGGATGCAAAATGTTCTTTTGAGGAGAATTATGGGGGTATTGGGGTGAGCTACACTTTGCTAGCCCCTAGTGCCACACCTGACTACTTAGCTTGTTATCTACAGTACCAAGAACACACAGAGCATTTTAACAAGAGAAAAGATTAGCAGGGCTAACAATCCTAAGATTAAAATTTAAAGTAATAGATACAGATCACAAACTCCAGATCTAAAGCAAATTACATTTCTCATCCTGAAAGCTTTGACAATTTGAAAGTGTCTGGCTGGCAGATCTTTAGTAAAATTTACAGAAAGCTATTGTCCCTCCCTCTTCTTCTGTTGGAAGACAACCATTCTTACATTATATTGGTGGTATTAAGATGTGTAAACACACCTTATTTGAAAAGACGTAAGAACACAGGTCCTCATAAAACCAGGTCTCAAAGATTCAAGGGCCATGCAGCATCAGAGAACTGGTGGAACATATCTAACAGCCCCAACCTCAACCTTCTTGAATAAAGTACACAACTCTATCAAGTTTTATTTCATTCCATTTATTTTACTTTTATTACCCTTGATAATCACATCCCCAAAATCTCCCCAGCAACTTTGTTGAAATTTGTTTAAATGATAGTCCCCTTCTGCCTTTTTTTTTAAAAAAATAATAAATACAAAGGATCTCTTTTGATAATTTTTGAGATGGTACTGACTGCTCTAGGTACGTTGTCTTCTACCTATTTTTTTTAAATACTGTAAACTGAACAAAAATATTCTTGCCCGTTTATTTATTTATCTGATTTTGCTTCACCTGTCTCCCACAAAATGCATCTAAAGCTAACTATGCCTGCACCTATGCGTGTGTCTACCACTTGATTCAGTTTACAACAGAACAAATGTCCTCAAAATGTGTTGCTCACTAGACCTTTAGGCAGGAGAACATCTTAGGGTCTCTGTGCCAAATATATGAAAGAATCTTATTAGCAGCTGAAGTCACAGTTTCAAGAAATATGACCAAGGCAGTCTTGGGTGTCTGAAAAAAATCAGACTGGCAATGAAAAACATGCTTATGTTCAGAAGACGAATCACAAAGCAAAGCAAGCTGATTTGCAAATTGTGGGAGGTGATAAAAACTCATGTTGTCATAATTGGCACTTAAATAACTCCATCTTCTAGCGGAGGGTTATATATACTTTGGACCTCAGTTTGCTAAATACTCACCAATAGTTGTAATCACAGTAGCAGCAAAGATGACTGCGTTAGGCCAGTTCCAGTAGTTGAAAGTATCATTGGCATCAATAGAAACCCCTTGTCCAGCAGCCTCTGATACCACCTATAATAATAATAAAATAAAATAAAATAAAATCATCATCATCATCATCATCAGAGGTCATTCAAAATGCTAGCTAAAAATATAGTACGAGAGTCACATGTCCACATAACTATTCAGAAAGAATAAAGGAAATACTTTTTTTTCTCTTTGTCATACGTAACCATCTTTGCAACAATGAAGTAATTTTAAATCATTAAGAAAATGCATTGGTTCCCAGCAGACAGTATTTTTCAGAATTCCAGTGGACCTTGGCAGCACCTGAGTAAAAGAGAGGCTGTCCAGAAGTTAAAAGCTATCTTCTGTTTTAGACTGGTCAGTCATAAAAGAACAGCTTCCAAACACAATAAGTGTTAAACTGGATTTGAGGATAGTTTGTTGTTGCTTTTTAAAAAAACAACAACATGTTCTGTCCAGGCAAGGCCAGATCATTAACATGGCAAATGGAGTATTTTGGAAAGACTGCCGAAAGAAAAACAGTACAAGCACAGTGGAGTGCTTATATACTTGCTGTGCTTGGGCAGGCCTACAAGAAATGGGACTTTTCAGTTTATTTTTATTTACTTCGTTTTCTAAGTGAATTTCATGCTGTTAGAGCTAACAGTGTGACTTGAAGTGGCCTTTGGTTCTGACAAAGGCTATTGAGTGCAAAGAAATATTTTATTTTTTCCCCTCTTTAATTTGAACATAAAATATTTGTTTATAGCATTTTCTAGTCCATTATAGTTTGCATATATTAATCTCAGCAAAACAATGCATTAATTACAGCCAGAGCACCAACACACTATTTTGTTATCTTATACATACCACAAAGTTGTTTACTTTTACATACAGAGTCATACAAGTGAGAGGAGCCTCAAACTTATATCACTTGCATATTGATATGAAATATCAATCTCACAGGACAGCCACTCCTGTAGATATATTTCAAGCATTGTCTGTGGCAACACAGCAACTGCCACACCTCCCCATATGTTAAGCAACAATTCCAGATAAAGAGACAAGAAGAGACATCAATCTTCATGCAAGGATGGAAAGGGGAAAACAGTTATGTTTCTCTAACTTTTATAAACGTCTGATATCTGGAGACTTCACAAAACTCTTCATGCAAACAGGAAAAGATTCCATGCAAAACTGAATGTGTAGAAGACGCTCCCATGTATTAGATGCCCCCCACTTTTCTAATCGCAAATTAAGAAATCAAAATTGTAAACTTAAAACAGAATGCATTTTTATTTAGTAATTAGTTAACATTTATATACCAGTACTGTCATATTATGCTTCACAATTAGCTTTGAGAATATCACTTTATTCAGCCTCTGGGGTCAGAACGCTTGGACCAGTCCCTCTTGCTTCTGAGCACAGCCCACATGCTCCACCTCCAACGAAGTGTGTTCCAGTTGGTTTATTCAGCATCAACTGATGTCAGTTCCACAAGGCCCATGATTGGAGGAAGCTAAGTCTCCTGACTGTAGGAAGCTAAGCCTCGTGATTGAAGGAAGGCTGTTTGCAGATGGGTGGTATACAAATCAAATCAATCTATTAAAAAAAACTAAAAATGATGTATTTGCTTTATGGTGGTTTTTTAAAAAACTACCAGAACAAAAATAATGTTTGTACTAGTGGGATCAAAGTTAGCAGAGCACTGACACAACTACTTTGCATAGTTGGGCTGATACACAGAATACCTTCTACCCAACTTCTAATTCACACAGCTCTTTGCATTTGTAAACTGGGCAAAATGTTTCCAGGAAAATATATAACAACTTCATTCTCTCTCTTTCTATCAATCAGTTCTTGAAGTAACTTACATTTAATGACCTTAACTCCCTCAGCAAATAATATTGTACACCCCAATTCCCACCTTTTTTCACCTGCACTTACTAAAGTGACTCTGCCTTACTGGACAGATTTTACCACATCACTATGATAAACCAAATGTGAAGGCAAGAGGAGAAGGGGACGACAGAGGACAAGATGGATGGACAGTGTCATCAAAGCTACCAAACATGAATTTGACCCAACTCCGGGAGGCAGTGGAAGACAGGAGGGCCTGGCGTGCTCTGGTCCATGGGGTCACGAAGAGTCGGACACGACTTAATGACCAAACAACAACAACACAATAAACCAAACAGTAGTAAGCTAGCCAATGTTTAAACCTTTTCTTGAAGTCAAACTACAGTGTAGTATCTTGTCCAAATTCTGTAAACTATGGTTAAAATTAATAGTGGTTTGTTGAAATATTTCAGCTGTATAGTCTATGGTCTGAAGTTGTCCTGCTTCAAATACACTATAGTTAACCATAGTCTGACTTTGAATAAAACTATAAGCTGCAGTTCTTAAGAATGTACAGGAAAACTGAGAGAGAGGGAGAATATGGCAGTCTGATGCTTGCTGCAAGCTATTCCTGCCATTAAATAAACCCCAATGGTTGTTGTGGGTTTTTTGGGCTCTTTGGCCGTGTTCTGAAGGTTCTTCCTAACGTTTTGCCGGTCTCTGTGGCCGGCATCTTCAGAGGACAGCACTCTG